AAACTGTTCTGGAACAATGTTGTAAATACAACTTAACCACTGATTTCTAGTTCTTTTTCTATCGTCCTCTTTTGGAAGGCCAAACAAAGTAGTTTCCCTTTCACAACAAAACACACAGCGCCTTCACGACATTGCGGTGGCGGCAACAACAGTACTACAGCGAGAATAAAAGTTACGCCGCAGAGAAAGGAAAAATTGAAATCGCATCATATGACCCCTTTAACGGGATAGTTCACCTTCAGTTGCTGGTCCCCATTGACTTCCATAGTATGGGGAAAAAAAACACTATGCAAGTCGTTGGGGACCAGCAACTGAAGGTGAACTATCCCTTTAAGGCCATAGTTTTGGCGCTTTTCCACTGCGTGGTACGGCACGGCTCAGTGCGGCACGGCTCGGTTTGCGTTTCCACTGCAGTTTAGTACCGCTTTAGAGTGGGCGGGATTATTCACATGTCGTTATAGTTGCGCCGCCTCTATTGCCGCGACTCCTAAAAAACGTTTTCATTCCGCGTCGCCCCATCAAGCTCTCGCTGGAGCCGCTCCTCTGCTATCAACGAAAGGAACGTCTGTACTTGCTCAACAGGGGGAACAGCCACTTTTTAGTTGTTAAAAAAAGGTGCGCTCGTTCAATCTGTGATCAGCAGAGTTTACACGTCACGTTTTGGTAACGGTACGGTTCGCTTGGAACCCCAACCGAGGTGGTACTAAAAAAAGTACCAGGTACTGTACCCAGTGGAAAACCCCCCAAAAGTGAACCGTACCGAGCCGTACCATGCAGTGGAAAAGCGCCATTGTGAGTGTGTTCCTACACTTTGAGTCATACACTTATTGCAGGTATGAGCCATTTCAAAATTTAGATTGTCCAATCAAATTAAAACTAAGATGGCGCCGCAGATGGCTGCCTCAATGTTTGGCTCTTGTAGCACAACTGTACATAACATTTTTTTTTTTTATTTCAATTTATTTTTTCTATTTTTGTCTATTTATATTTACATGTGTATTTTTTTATTCTCATCTTATTTTTGTCTGTTGTTGTTGTTGTTGTTGTCTCTGCGTACTGGAAGCTTGTGACACTAAAACAAGTTCCTTGTATGCTCAAGCATACTTGGCAATAGAGCTCTTTCTGATTCTGAAATGCTCTCTAGATCAAATTTTTAAGTCTAATCATTAGGGATGATTAGGGCCCGATTTTGAGCTCCTGTACTCGTTAAAATGCCCCGATACCAAACGCCGATACCACACAGCATGTGATAAGCGCCATATTCAGACAAAGAAACACCAACAACAGACAGCAGAATGGAGTTAAGGATGTCTACTACGAAGTATATGTATGCAATGAATATAACGTTAAACAATTCAGTATTAACACCTGTATAGCTGATGTGCGCGAGCTGATAAACAGCGCGCTGAGTGGATTGAGCGTGCGGCGGTGCAGATGCGCGAGCTTGTCGAGTGAATATACCTTTCTCACAGACATCACTGGAAAGTTTGTAGTTCGGTCGGATATGTCAAAAACAAGTAAGTAAAACAATGCACAAGTTACTTAACGGTAGGGAGAGAG